TATATATACTGAATAGATATTTTAATATTTTTCTAAAGTTTATAGAGCTATAGTAAGCTTGTATATAAGTATTATCATTGGTAAATATTCTACCATGTTTTCTATTTAAAAATGTAAGTAACCTACCTTTTAGTGAAACAATCGTTAGCTTACTGAAACAAGAAATAAACAGGCTTGGTTTTAAAGGAAATGTACGTTTCACTGTAAAAGGAATTACTGATTGTTCCCGGATGTATACCGGTAGTTACATACCGGTAGATGTCTTGGAGGTTAATATGTAGGTTCAAAATCGCAAAGTGAAGACGTCGATAATGTTTTCTTTTTAATCCAAAAGTATAGGAATAATAAACATTTTTTTGGTCAAAGTTAACTCAGTAGCTTATCAGAATTTAATATTTTGGAGATACGATATTCATTACATAGAAAATACTTTAGCATAAAAGTGATATCCATCCTACTCAAGTAAACAATAGCAATAGCATGACGCTATAGATGATTAGGCGAATATTTTATACTGTATTAAAAAAGGAGATGATGTTGTTGCTTAGGAAGTGATTATATTACTCTGCAACTTAATTTCAGCGTTAAAGATTCTGAGTCACTCCCAAGACATTCAAATCTCTGAAATATTATTCATTAAAATGATAAGCGTTACATTCCCGTGCAATCACCGATCACCGCGTCCAACCCCGTGTTGGTCCCATCCATAAACGTATCAAATCCTAAATACATCTCATAATATAGTGTATTGTAAAGAAATCAACATAGACATTGTTATATTTATCGTTGCCACTTTTATTCACAACAATTCACAGCTCTTCTATCATATGGAGGTATTAAGAAAATTGTAAGTAGATTGGATTGGATTGGATTTTTTCGGTGAAAGGATTTAGGCGTCCAGTAACCAAGGCTTAATGTGTCTGCCCCGTTCGAATGTTATCGTTTCAATCAACAAATTTGGTTGAAAACAGACAAACAGGAATCAAATAAAGAAAAAAAAAAACATTTCTCGATTGCCCAATTCTGAAATAAAATTAAAACTGTTGTTTTCATGGTATAGGCCTATTCTGTCTCTGATGTGCATGACTGTGTAATTGTTCGTCTAACAACAATTATTATCGTAGCCTTACTGGTTACTATGATAATCGTTTACGGTACGTTTCATTACGCGCGCTCACTAACAACACGAAATCCACAAGTGATCGGATTTTACGCTCCTCAATAGTCGGCCCACATTCGTTCGTCTGCCCCACTATCAGTAAGAATCCATCGTTGACTCTCTTGAGTGTTGTTGCAATTTGTTGTAGAGACAAAGCGAATGTCGCCCTCCTGCGACTTGACAGCATCCAAACATTTCCGAGTTGCTGCATTCATGATCGTGCTGGTCTACAACAAAAGAAAAGATTTAAGGATATTTTGTCAACGTCAGGTTTACACACTCTCCTCAATGTTTAATCAAATCATGACCATTTAATGATATTATCGTAACAGACATCTCTATCCGGGAAACGTATAATATAGTAATGAAATAAAAGTGCAACATTGCATTGAGTTCTTGAACTTTCTGTCATGATGGGAATATCGCTTTGTAATGTAGAATGGCGTGGATGAAACAAAGAACATTGAGAATTTGAAGTTTTAAACGTACAATGGGATCGTACTCCCACGATGCAGTAGTAATCTCCGCACTCCGGGGACAGTCACTGTAAGCGACTTCTTCATCATAAAAATGTGCATCTAGGCACATATTGTCATGCTGTATCTGGTTGAACGCATTGTAAACAAATATCTAATAAATAAATAAAGTAAGGTTAATTCCATTTAGTTTCTGAAATGCAGAATTTACATAAGTAAGGAAAACAATACGAACTGAATTTCAACAAATTTAAATTTTCCCTCCCCACCCCCTAAAAATCCAACCTAAAAAAAAATTGCTGAGAAATCTTGATTTCAATTGCATTCAACATTGTCCTCTCATTTACGACATGCGAATAATATTTGTTATATTGAAAAATGGGTTGCAACTGTTTTTAAAGCCGATATTGAACAGTATACAATTGAAAATCATCGTAACAGGCCTAGGCCTACAGTCATGCCATGTTGTTGCAGTTTAATACACAGCATTTTATTCAAAATTGGTCTTTAAAAAAGTAATAAATGGGCGTAATATTGCTTACTGTGATCTGACTGACTAGAGAAACTGGTGCTTAAAAATCATGTTTATTGAAATCGAGGCCTACCTGAGACATACCGATTCCGTGACATGGAAATAGTGATACTTTTGCGTCACCTTTCGCCTTCTCTCCTCTCGCGAAAACATCGACACACATCGCAGACATCTCATTTCGAACCTGACAAAGAGTATTATAGAGCAATGTTAGTCAGCTAAATATATGCTGTCTCTTATACACATCTAGATGTGTATAAGAGACAGTATATGTACAGTATATAGAACAATGATGGAAACATTGTTACATGTAAAAGTAAAAAATAATAAAAATATTTTCACATGTACAGCACACTTTCAACAACTTATATTTAGGCCTATACCTTGACCATCTTAAGCATTTCTTTAACCAGGATACGATTTAATAATAATGTATATATATAAATATATATATATATGTATATATATATATATATATACATGTATATATATATATGTATATACATATAAATCAACACTGTATTTACCTTTCTGTGATGATTTATATAGCACTCTCAGGCTTAATAATTTGAATATTATTTTCTTTTTACCTCTATTTTTTTAGTTTGAAAAATGTAGAGGTGGGGCGGTTGGTCCCCGTTAAATACACCACTGTTAGGCGGAGAAACCAGGACTGGTAAATAATATAATGATAATTAATTAAAATCTACATGGGTTTAAAAAATATGTTAGTATAGTACCGTATTAAAACTCGCAGGTTCGAGTGAAAATCTCATAGGCTTTATGATCCCCGGTGGGCCGCCGGCTACAAGGCCAAATGTGTGTCTGCAACAACTATATAATAATAATATATTGTCTAAGGATTTTTTTCCTACAGGATAAAAGAAAGTCCTACCATGCCGATTATTTTGAATTCAAGAGGCAGTGTATGCTCAGGGTAGACCGTCTCTAAATACCAACGAAAACTTTTGCATCCGAGTGTTTCTCTGAGTTTAACGCGGTTTGAAATATCTCCGTATCCGGTGACTTGTAGTTGCGGGTTTAACGAATAAAATATGTTCTGCGAAACAAAAAATCATTTAGGCCTATATCTGTGATTCAAAATATATAAAAAGACTTGGTAGTAGATACAGTATACCGGTGCAGGTCAAGTACATAATTTGTTAGGTAAGGCAGAAAAGCCTTTAACTAAGCATGAGACAATTTAAGTTTAGCATGTCTAACTAATTTTAACAAAACAAAAAGATTAGGTCTCACACGAAAGTAATGTGATGAAGATATTGCCACCATTTTGTTTTAAAGCAAGGCACACCAGCTTATATAGCTTATGTAAGTCATTTATTACCTTAAAGCTGTCGGTCCAAACCTCCAACGTTCGCCGTGTATTTCTTACTAATGTTATACCTGGGTCCTCATCATAGGAATATGGGCTTTTTGACCGGAAAACGTGTCCGACGTGGGAACATGGAACAATTTCAATAGAACCGCCACACTGCCAAATCTAGAAACAAGGGTAAACCAAAATTAATATAATTTTGCCTGCAGGCCTAAACTGAAACACTCTAGAAAGGCTCGTTCTTACTGAATAACTTTCGGACCCGTTTTTTGCAGGAAATTTTAACCGTGTCTTAGGATAGCCATTTAAAAAAACATTTTAATTTCTTCAACAAGCGTAGATATTAAAGGACTTTAGGTATCTGGACCTTTCGCTACGCATCAAAATATTTTCCTTATCAAAAGACCGTAGGCCTACTAAAACATTAAAGTTATCTGCCGGTGTTGAGCTCTCGATACTGTTTAAGTTACTTAAGGTCTATACTTCATATTCCAGTAATTCGATTAACAGCAAAAGCTTCGGAAACTAAAGACACACATATTAAACTACTGTTCCTCAGTTTTGTAAACTATCGAAAACTAAATGTCTCGGCGATCTGTTTCTCATTAATGTTTAATTTGATTGGTCTATACAATCATAAGCACTAATAATAAAACCGATTCAAGTTACATAAATAATAAATAATAAAACAGCATTTATAATGCGCCGTCTATCTAGCGAACTATTCTGAGGCGCAGTGAATACATGTGAAGAGATATTTGATTGATAACCACATACAATTCTGACAATAAAATAACACTTTTTGATCTATTTGATTTGAACTATTCGGTCTATAATATCAACAATACAATCACAGACACTAATAAAACCAATTCAAGCGTTTAAGCATGTGAAGAGATGACAAATTGAAAAGTTCTGAAAGAAATAAAAAATAAAACAAAAAGAACACGAAGAATTACAAACAATATAAAAATGGTGATGTTATTCAATTTAGGCAACAGGTCTCCGATTTGATAACTTATTTATAGGCCTACTTATAATTAGCTATTGTCTGGTGAATGTTCACGGAGCTTTTCTCCTCGTCCAACGGTATAGGCGCCTGTAATAAATATAGGATTTTACATTTACATTCATGGTCTGTACTTGAACCTCGTAAAATTAGGCCTGGCTACAGTATTTATAATTCTCTAATTCTTAATCATCACTTTTGAATATTTAAAATTTCTCAATGGCTTTCTGTATATAAAAAGAATACATGCATTTAGGGTCGACTCAGTAGTGTTACTGTAAATGCAGCTTGAAAAACAAAGAAAAACAAGAAATGTGCGTCGGCCGGGAATCGAACCCGGGACAATTGCTTGGAAGGCAACTATGTTAACCACTACACCACCGACGCCCGATATGTTACTATCAACTCAACAAGTACTTGAAGACTCTCAACCTTGCCTTGCCTCTCCAGGAAGCTTTGCTTGACCATGTTTTGACCGACCTTGTTAGTGCATTTTGTCAATACTATTAGTAGGCTATACAGATATTTGTTTATGGGAGATAAGATATTTAAACAAAGAACAAATATGGTATACCCAAATTATAATACATTTCAAAAGTTACTCTACTTATAGTAATATAGAAAATATCGTTTTTGTTCACCTGCAATATTTTTTTAAAAGTAAGTAGGCTATGAAATTGGTTTTGCTTGGCAGAATAAGACATTTAATGGAAAAAAAAAACAAAAAACAAATCCTGTATACCCAATTTCAAAAGTTACTCTGCTTATAATAAATACAGAAAATATCGTTTTTGTTAAACTACAGTATTGTTTAAAAAAATAGTCTTACTTAAACTACTTTAAACGATATACAATTTAACTTTACTCGATATTGCATTTTTATTTCGATATGATACCACGTTTATTCAGAATTTTTTTACCAATATATTGTTCATATGTTTTAAATTAGTAATGGGGTGTTCCATTTACAAGCATTATGCTTCTGGAATTTCCCCCTTTCTTTGACTGCTAATACTACTGTAATATTATTCATGATTATGATTTATTCATTGATGTTCAAAGAAAATAAAAGAAATTGTCATTGTAACCCAAATAATGAATCAAACCAAATGAAATATCCTGCTGAGTTACACTTGCAGGCTTGAGGCATGCATCATGTACCATATGCTGCCACGTGTAGACTGATAATTAAAAAAAAAAAAACTACCGGTATTCGAAACAGAGTTAGAAATGTTGCCGACGCACTTCTTTTTTTTTTTTTTAATTTACAGTGACGTTTTTGTTAATTCCAAGATGTAAAGTTAATTCGCACCCGTTGTTGTAAAATTACTATGCTTAAACAAATTTGTTTCGTATAGTCAGCAAAGCTGACTCAATCGTGTACAAATATATATAT